TTCCTTCAGCGCGCCTTACGGCAATTACCATAATGAACAACCCCGAAGCGGGTTACCGGGTCGGGTTAGTCGAACCGGTTCACCTCGGGCTACCGGGTTGTGGAGCCGTTGTCGGTGTTCGTCGAGATGTGTTTGATCGGGTTCTGCGGGCCGGTCGTTGTTAGGAGTCGTGCCGCCTACAGCATTGCGAGGCGATGCATGCAGAACGGGAGTCGCATCGCACCTTCACCGGCGTTGCCTGCTGCGACACACCCAACGCGGTGGTGGGGACCAGGGGGTTATCTTCGCTAGCCAGGGCACCTCTGTTGTTGAACAGCTTAATACTTGTGCTGCCACCTTCGATAGCGAGAGAATCAAAGGATGTAGCAGGATTGTGTGCGACGCGGTTGGTTCTCTTCAGGGGCACGGTAGTCAATCATGGCGAGACGTACTACTCCTGTTCATGAAGCATTTGCCAATGTTTAGTAGCAACGAACCGACGGCCGAAGACGGTTGACCGTCGCAATTGCTCCAGTATACCCTTGCACCGCACGATACAACCGCAGCCAGCCAGTCAGCCCCGTGACTATCGTGGAGGTCTTCATTCTATGTAGGGGTGTGGGTGTTGGCTGCGAAGCGACGAGGATGTTTGCTGCTCTTGTGGAGACGGCGGAACGAAGGCGCCGACAGCGACTGCAAGCAACAGCAATGAATGCTCATGAAGGCCCTCCTTATACATGTTATGTTACCAATCCCTATGAACAGGTGCGGTCCGAATGAACTCCTCCTTTTTACTGTTTTTTGTTACGATCCCCCAATGAATAGGTGCGGGTGCCACAGGAGCACCGATGACTACGAACCCCCAGAATCGTACCTCTCGGGTGCCGCCATTACATTCACCGGAGCGGTAAGAGCAGGGTTGGCGACAGAAGGCGCACACGCGCGCGCGCACGAGTTTGGTTTTGTATGTTTTTCTCCCTTTTAAGCTGACGCGTTGTAGTATCATTTCTCAGCTTAGTAGTTTTTAGCACGTATGGCATGGTCGATTTTGATTGAAGTAAAAGCATAGACGCGAGCGCGCACACGGCACGCACCCGGGGAACCCGCAGTTTGGAGCCTCTCCTTGTTCAGTCCTGCTTTGGGCGACGTTTGCATGGTGTTGGGAGCGCTCGGGGCGGGGGGGGG